TTTCCTGACTTGTCAATTTTAGTCATTCTGACTGGTGTGAGGTGGTATCTCATTGTGGTTTTGATTTGTATTTCCCTGATGCCAAGTGATGTGGAGTATTTTTTTCATGTCGGCCATTTGTATGTCTTCTTTGCAGAAATGTCTGTTCATGTCTTCTGCCCATTTCTTAACTGGATTCTTTGTGTTTTGGGTGTTGAGTTTGATAAGTTCTTTATAGATTTTGGAGTCCATAGTCTCTCATGGTTCGTCTCCCCCTTCGATTCCCCCCCCTTCATTTTTCCCTTCCTACTATCTTCTTTTTTTTTTGTTAACATATAATTTATTATTTGTTTCAGGGGTACAGGTCTGTGATTCATCAGTCTTACACAATTCACAGCACTCACCATAGTACATACCCTCCCCAAAGTCCATCACCCCATCCCTCCACCCCCCTCGCCTCCAGCAACCCTCAGTTTGTTTTCTGAGATTGAGTCTCTTGTAGTTTGTCTCCCTCTCTGGTTTTGTCTTGTTTTATTTTTCCCTCCCTTCCCCTGTGATCCTCTGTCTTGTTTCTCAAATTCCTCATATCAGTGAGATCATATGATACTTGTCTTTCTCTGATTGACTTATTTAGCTTAGCATAATACCCTCTAGTTCCATAAAAAGATTTTATTTTTAAGTAATCTCTGCACCCAACCTAGGGCTTGAACTTACAACGCCGAGATCAAGATTTGCATGCTTTACCAACTGAGCCAGCCAGGCACTCCAGAGTGGTACATTTTATACAATTGATGAACCTACATTGACACCCAGTGCCTGTAGTTTACATTAGGGTTTACTTTTGGTGTTGTACATTCTATGTTCATGTTGCTTTTATGAAGATATTTGTTATATTTACCATTTGTAGTTTTCAGCAGGAGATTTAGCCCAAATCGGATTGGAATTGGAGATCTAGTTGAAGTTTTAAAGCATGATTTTGACATCTAGTAGGAAGGAAACTAACATTTAATGATCTCCTTATTCTGTGCCAGGTGCTGTGCTAGTTCTTTCCCTATAATTTCTCACTTAATCCACTTAACAATTTTATGAAGTAAGTGATGGTATCCCCATTTTAAGAAAACTGAGGCCAAGAAGGACTGACATACAAAAGATTATATGTGGCAAAATCTGAGTTTCATCCCAATGTTTTTTGATCCAGATTCTGTTCTCTCTGTAACATACGAAACTACCTCTTGTATTATTTGAGCCCCTGTAGGATATTAGCTCTTAGGGCATAGTTAAGAAGTGCCTGGCACATAATAGATGTTCAAAAATATTTGCTGAGTGAATGAATGAAGGAAGCAAAGTTCCTAGCCTTGTGATCTACTGGGGAACACAATTGACTAGGGGATGTAAACATGGAAATACACTGACTACAATTCGTTGTGGTCATTGAGTGACTGGCATATGAGCTGAGTGCTATGAGAACACAGAATAAAGAATTCTTTGTAGTCATTTAGCTGGTTACAAGTAGGGGCTATGGCGGCAGATGAGTCTGGAGAGACAAGCAGGATCCAGATCCTTAAGGGCCTTGTTACCACTTTACCTCTCATATTGGGTACTTTATGCCCAAGACTGGTTGAGATGCTTTTCACGGGTTGATTCAATTCTCACAGCACCCATGAAGATAGGTACTCTTATGATCTCTACATTTTAGGTGTGGAAACTGAGACACAGAGAGGCTAAGCAACTGGTCACACAGGCTAATCCATGCCATACCTGAGCTTTCAACCTGGGCAGCTTGACTGTGGAGACCACATCCTTAACCACAATGCGGGGATGCTTCTATTAGTACATACCATGGACATCCAATACCAATACATGGTATACTCCGTACTAGGACATGCAAATCTGCTAGCTGCATTTTATTTCTCTATGTGGTTACACCATATTTCATTTAACTGTGTTCATAGACAGTCTTGATGGTTTCTCGTCCTTTGCAATTATGGACAGCACTGCAGCGAGTAGTACGTACTTTCCAGCCCAAGCTTACTGTGCTGTTCCCCCATAGGATCACTCTTACCCTCTTCTCCGTTATCATTGTGCTAAAGGATCTCTAAAACTCCTTCAGGGCATCACCCTCAATTCTGAGATTTGCAGAGCCATAATTCTTAATCTAGGCATACTGCATGTTGTAGATTACTCAATAGGGTAATTGACAAGGTTCATTTGGATTCATTTTCTGAAGATTGAAGGGCCTGGGTGATGTAATAGCTAATATTTATTGAAGGCTTCCTATGCCAAGCACTGCACTGAATACTTTACATAGATTATTCTATTTAATCCTCAACCATTCTATGAGCAATCCTATTATAGTTCCCATTTTTTTTTAGTTAAAAAGATATTTTTATAAGTAATCTCTACACCCAACGTGGGGCTTAAACTCATGACCCCGAGATCAGGAGTCACATCCTGTACCAACTGGGCCCCTGTTGTTCCCATTTTTAAAAAGGAAACAGGCTCAAAGAGGTTAAATGACTTGTCTGTGGTCATATAGCTAAATGCTGTCTGATTTCAAAGCTCATATTGCAAAGCCCTTTGTTTGCTAGGGCTGGCTAAAAATACACTACAAAATGGGTAGCTTAAAACAACAGAAGTTTGGGGCACTTGAGTGGCTCAGTCGGTTAAGCGTCTGCCTTTGGCTCAGGTCATGATCTCAGAGTCCTGGGATTGAGCCCCGCGTCGGGCTCCCTGCTCAGTGGGAGTCTGCTTGAGATTCTCTCTCTCCTTCTGCCCCTCCTCCCTTCATGCTCGCTCTCTCTGTCTCTGAAATAAATAAATAAATCTTAAAAAAACCAACAGAAATTTATTGTCTCATAGTTCTGGAGGCTAGAAGTCCAAGTTCAAGGTGTAGGCAATGTTGGTTCCTTCTGAGGGTTCTGAGGGAGAATTGGTGGTTGCCAGAGGGGAGGGTGATGGGGGATGGGCAAAACAGGTGAAGGGGATTAAGAAGTACAAACTGCTAGCTATAAAATAAGTTATGAAGATGAAAAGCATAGGGAATATAGCCAATAATATGGTGGATCCCATTTTTATTCCATGGTCAGATTTTATATTTTTTAGTTTCTGGGAAAAGTTCAAACTTCTTTAAAATTTCCTTGTCTTTTTGCAGCCTGAATTCAACAAAAGTAATACTTTCTACTTCTTCAACCACATTGATATTATTATTACATATCACAGGGAAAGTGAAAGAAATTGGGATATTGCAAGATTGGTTGCTGCTAGACTTGACCCCCAAAGGTAATTATAGAATATCTTTTTAATTAGTTCCTTTAATTTAAAAATTAATTCAGAATGTAGACGTTCTCAACTAGAATTTTCATTTTTAGGATACACATGTGATGTAACCTTAGACATACAGTTTGAAAAATTAAGCAGGCAATTTATTCCTTTCTACCTATAGTTAGAGTTTGAATACCATGTAATGTGAGGAAGAATTGACAGATGTGGAGGGAAATAGACTTATTGAGGGCATCCTAACTCTCTTTACTTGCTGCCATATGACAAAGAGCTTAGATTTAGATTTGTGTTTCTTCAGAGGACAGGTCTATTACTGGAGTCTATTAGGCAGGTATCAGCTGAATATAAGGAAGAATCTACTAACAATTAGAGTTCTCTAACAAATAAGCAATCTCAAGAATTAGCAGGTACTTTATCCCTGTACATTTATAGAAAGAGCCTGGATGACCTAGCTGTAAATTAGAACTCTTCAATTAAGATAGAGAGGAAAATATAGCACACAGTGTGTAAAATCATAGTCCATTATGGGCAAAATATTCTAAAACCTGAAATACTAAGATGGAGGAAAGAAGTTATCCCTTGAAACCTACTTGCGTATATTAAAGGAGGCCCATGTGGTATAGTTTTCTGAATACAGAACAAGGAATTAGGAAATTTGGATTTTAGTCTCATCTCTCCTGGTTTCATTTTGCAAGTCAGCCCTAAGTTTGTAGAAATGGATCAGACTTCATTGTTTTTAAGGCTACCGCCCCATTTGACTTCTGCCAAGGTTCCATCTGGCACAGAGATTATTCCCAAAGGGAAAGAAGAGTTAGAGACTGTATTGTGCCAAGCTTTTGACCATTGGGTAGGTTAACTTGATCTGTCATAGGCTTAATTTCCTCATCTGTGAGAGGAGAGGACTGAATTAGGAGTTTTTAATATGGTCCCTGATATATCAAACTCTGGACATTTGTATTGATGTGTATTTTTCTGGGTAAAAGGGCCTATAGATTTCATTAAACAGACCCCAAGTGGTGAGGAACACTGGTATTTTCCAAGTCTGGTTTATCTTAGTAAAAGGATATTCTTTTAAAATTAATGTCTATGTTAAAAATTTTGAGGACTATTTATCTTTGCAAGGTGTTGCAAGTAGGAAATAAAAGAAGGCTTAAAGGGATCAGAGCATATTTGTGAACAACAGGAAATAAACATAGCTACCAAGAGAGGCCAGGAAATACTAATCATTGTCAAGAAAATCACCTATGCTTTTTGGTGTATGTCACTTCTGATATCTGGCAACAGAATGTTAGGAGGATGGACTGTGACATATTCGAAGTCATTAGGTAGTAAACATACAGAGTATGATCATCCAGGCAGCTAGTCCCATCAGCTATATGAAAATCAAACTTAATGCTTTACAGTTATATCTCATATTGTCAGACTCAGAGTAAAAAAGCCAAGAAGGTAATTTTTTAGACTTATATTTATTCTACACTGCACATAGCAACAGTTTATGTATGCATGCAATAAAACTTTAAACATTGTAAAGGTCATTTATGTGGGCCCCTTGAGAACAAGGACTGTGCTATAAATCATTTTTTTGGAATTAGGCAGTCTGCTCAAGGTCATAAGAAGTGAGTTAGGCCTAATGGTATTCTAGGCCTACAGTCTTGTGTTTTCTGTTAGGGACTGTACCCAGCTAATTTCCCTGATGGTTACCATAGTTGATCATTTCTTTTTCCTATAATTACTTGCTTCATTTGGCTTTTGGATTACCATACTTTACTGATTTTCTCCTGTCTCACTGGTTGCCGTCTTCTCATTTCTCCAACGTCTTCATATTTGAAGGCCCAAGGACTGAGTCTTTGAACTTTTTTTTTCTTTATATATACTTACACATTGGTAATCTTATCCTGTCTCATGGCATTGGATCCTACAACGACCCTTAGATCTGTAAACTTGTATATCTAGCTGTCTACTTGACATGACTACATGGATGTCTAGTAGGCATTTGAAATTTTTTTAAAAAGATTTTATTGATTTGAGAGAGAGAGAGAGAGTGCACAAATGGTGGGAGGAGGGGCAGAAGGAGAGGGAGAAGTGGGCTCTCCGCCCAGGGCTGGATCCTAAGACCCTGAGATCATGACCTGAGCCAAAGTCAGACGCTTAATCCACTGAGCCACCCAGGGGCCTTGGCATTTGAAATTTAACGTGACCAAACATGAACTTGTAATCTTTCCTCCAACCTGTTTTTCCTGTTGTCTTCTCTATCTCAGCAAATGGCAACTACATCCTTCCAGTTGCTCAGGCCCCCAAACTATGGCAGCACCCTTGACTCCTCTTTATCATTTTTCACTCATACCCTGTAACTATTCCAATCCTTTGGCAGACCATGGGACTCTGTTTTTAAAATATATTCAGGATCCACCCCTTCTCATCACCTCCACCGCTATCATCTGGTCCAAGACATCATTACATCTCACCTACCTGGTGGCAACACCCTTGCCGGTCTCCCGGTGCTATCCTTGTTTCTCAGCAGTCTGTTCTCAATACAGCGTGCAGAGCATTCCTTCTGAAATGTCAGCTCATGTCAATCCTCTGCTCAGAATCTTCCAGTGACTTCCCATCTCACTTAGAGTAAAGGCCCAAATTTTGAAAATGGCCTAGAAGGCCTTATGCAACCCCTATGTAAGGATGGTGGTTTAAAATAGGCCTTTTACATTGATTGGAGATCTTAATACACCTTTTGCTGCATGATTTCTCTCATATGAAATTGAGGTATTTTCTGGGCTGGATTCAAGGGCCATACTTAAACAGTAAACCTTGATATGCATTATCATTTGGTAATGTAATGTTTTTCCTGTAGATGTTAAGTTTTTATTGGTAGCCTTAACAGTGATCATTTAATTCATAGCTGTTTTGTTTTATTTGTTATTTTTAAAATTTTTTTTAAAGTAGGCTCTGCACCTAGTGTGGAGCCCAGCACGGGGCTTGAACTCACGACCCTGAGATCAAGACCTGAGCCGAGATTAAGAGTCAGACATTTAATTGACTGAGCCACCCAGGCGCCCCAATTCACAGCTGTTTTAAAATATATTTTGGCTTTAAATAGAATTCACGCTACAAACACTTAGTAAGGGCATATCATATGCCACACACTAGGGTTACAAAAATGAATAGGAAGAGGGGCACGTCAATAACCCCCTGCAATTGTGAGTGAATGGTTTAATTGTGTATATACAGAGAAATAACCATCCCATAAGGATTGCATATTGTCCTTTACACAGAAGCCAAGGGATAATTTGTATGTTGAGTAAATAATTCAAAAGGGAAGCACCACTGTTTCTCCTTCGATTATTCTCTCTCCCTTTTATTCCTCTTTTATTTTTCAAGTAATATTACAGTCTCTTTATTCCTGACCAGGCACTTGTTAGCTTCATCAGTCCTTAAGTTTAGTTTCACACTTCTTTAGTTTTTGCTTTCCATCTTCTATTTTTTATAATCACCTTTCTCAAATACAAAAGGTTTGCATAGATTGTCCTCACTACCTTTCATCACTAAGCATGGCATTTTACACACAGTAGGCCCTCAGATCTCTGGCTGCTTATAAATATGATTTCAAAATCTATTTGGTTTTCTAAGCCTACAGCTAAGAATACAAGACTGGTTGTTTAATATATTGGAGAGGGATGAGATGAAAGATGAGAAGTAAAGCCATTTACTAATAGAAGGACTTTAAAAAATCTATCCACAGCCAAAGAGAAGGTTCTTTTTTTTTTTGAGATTTTATTTTTAAGTAATCTCTACACCCAACGTGGGGCTTGAGCTTACAACTCCGAGATCAAGAGTTGCACGCTCTACTGACTGAGCCAGCCAGGCTCAGGAGAAGAACCATGAGAAGGTTCTTAGGGGGATATATTTTCCCCTGCTGTCCAAAAGTAGAGTGTTCCTGTGAAAGCTTTTGGAAGCCGAAATGCCAAAGCAAAGAAGCAATTGCCATTAACTTATATGGAAAAATTTGTGAGCGTTCCCAGACCCTCCAAATCGCCTCTCTTAGGCTTTTCTGATACCTTAAGACACATCTTGCTAATGGATGCGCAAAGTAAACCGAGATAAAGCACAGATGCTCACAGACCTAGTTCAAAGCATTGGTGGCTTGATGTCAAAATGCTGTGTGGTTCCCAGGGAAGGGGCTGGGTGGCACCATGCTCACTGCTTTTATTATGGCTCCCTGCAAAAGTGATGCTGAATCCTCTTTTTGATTTTTCATAAAAGTGAAAATCCTCTTTGCATTTCTTTCAGTTAGTTCGTGAAAACAGGCACTAATTAATGTAAGTCTTTCGTTAAAGTGAAGTGGCATAAAGTGAGCTTCGGAAAAGCGGGGCTACCTGTATTGCATTTTTGGCAGTATGTTGACTCTCATTTGAGTGTTGGGGACATTTAGAAACAAAAGTATTTTAAGTCATAAAGAGTTTTAAATATGAAATATAACAAAAGACGTATTTTTTCTCAGTCTGCTATTGTTACATGCCCGAATAGCCGTGAATTGGAAATCTACAGTGGCAGTTTGGTATAAAAATTCCTTTCCCTTCCTCCCTGCCCTTTTCTTAGCTATAAGCATTCAGATGAAAACCACCTAACTTGTAATGGACCCCCTATGGAAATTCCTGGAGAACATACAGATAAGTTGAGTGTCACCTACACTTACTCTGTGAGATTTGAAGTAAGTATTCCATGCCATCATCTTTTGTTCCAAATCAAGTATATAAATACCATATACTTCCTTAATAGTTAAGCCTTAATTTTCATCATCCAAGTTTTATAACACAGCTAAGAGCCCAGGAAAGTAGGTTAAGTTCTTTATATTAAAACCAGTCAGAGGCCAATCGTGAAAGGAATTCTGTATTAAATCTCCCACATTTCAGGTACTGTGTCAGATAACTTACTTTTTCTTATTTTACATGGAGGTTTAAAAGAAGTATGTGGGAAACCAGAGAGGTGTCACCTGCGGTTGGCAGGCTGGCAGGCTGCTCAAGTGGGACCTTAAAGGAAGAGTATGTTGTGGAAGAGACAGAGTATCATGTACTGAAAAGAGCATCCTTTTTTTTTTTTTTAAGATTTTATTTATTTGAGAAAGAGAAAGGGGGAGCGGGGGGCAGAGGGAGAGAGAGAGGCTCAATCCCATGACCCTGAGATCATGACCTGAGCCAAAATCAAGATGCTTAACTGATTGAGCCACCCAAGCACCCCAAATAGAAATTCTTTATTGGGCTCGGACTGACCTGTGGTTCAAACTGAGGCTTGGCCACTTACTAGCGGTGTGAGCTTAGGTAAGTCATGTGATCTCAGGCTCAATTTTTTTTCCTCACATCATTTCATCCTCATTTTCAGAATATGTAAAGACCTTAGCATGACACAGAGTAGGTCCCCAACATATGGCATTCATTATTGTTTCTACATCTGTCATTTTTCTTTTGTAAGTAGCTGTTTTTATGAAGTGGTGTGTATTTTGGGAAGCTAGATAGATATACAGACTGACTATTAACATTCTGGTGAATAATCTATCAGCTCTCTGATGATGCCCATGTTTCCCAGAGGTTTTTCTGGAAACTCGTTGCTTCATATTTTATTTATTTTTGCTTTTTATTTTCAAAAGTGTTACGTGAAAAAGGGATTCTATGACAAGGTTACTTTGGATAATGGTAAGTTAAACAATGTTAAAACAATGGCATCAAGAGTACTCATTATGTTAAAAAGCACTGTGAATATTCAGAAGATGATTATGATACATGGTATTTCATAGACCATGGCAGAACTCATGGGGTTATAATGTTCTGTAGAATATACAAGGGAAACACTGCATGTGGTACCAAAAAATATGCAACTTTGTACAAATGAGGTATTACATGTGCTATTTTCACTCCATGTGTATGTCATGGACATCTTTCCATGTCAATAAATATAGAGTCACATCCTTCTTTTTATTTACTGCCTAATACATTTATTTTTTAAATTTTTAAAGAAGATTTTATTTATTTGAGAGAGAGAGTGAACAAAAAAGCATGAGCAGAGGCAGAGGGAGAGGAAGGAGCAGACTCCCCGCTGAGCAGGGAGCCCAATGTGGGGCTTCCCTGGGATCATGACCTGAGCTGAAGGCAGACACTTAACGACTGAGCCACTCAGGTGCCCCAAGAATTTTTTTTTAAGATTTCATTTTTATTTCAGAGGCGGGGGGGTGGGAAGGGGCAGAGGGAGAGGGAGAAAGAGTTTCAAGCAGACTCTGTGCTGAGCGCAGAGCCCCAGGTGGGGCTTGATCCCACGACCCTGAGATCATGACCTGAGCCGAAATCAAGAGTTGGACGCTTAACCCACTGTGCTACCTAGACGCCCCTACTACACATAACATGTAGGCCATAGTTGATTTACTTAGTGTACTTTTGGAAAGAATGACCCAAATATCTAATTTTTAATTACTATAAATAATGCTTTAATGAACATTCTTACTTTTTTTCTTCTGTGATTATCTCCTAAAGTTAAATTACTAGCAGTAGGATTATTTAGGTAAAAGGGTGTACATATTTTGATAACACATTGCCAAATTCTTGTCCAGGCAAGTTGCTGGGGCTGAGGATCTGCTGTTTCCTCACACACTCAGCAGTACTAGGTTTTTGTCAGTTTTTAAAAATCTTGCTTCAGAATTTTAATTCTGTGAGTATACCCAAGGAAGATTGATTCATACTAAGCAAACTCCTAAGGGTCCAATGTATAAACCAGAATACCAATTTATTAATTTACATGGAGAAATATAAATGCCCAGCAGACCACGCCATTCATGTTAGCTGGTTAGCACATCTGCCTGTTATAATGATATGTGAGAAAGTAAATGTAAATAGAATAGAATAAATAGAAAGTTTCTCGGTGAGCATAGGACCCCAGAGCAAAGGGAAATGGGTATTAAAAGATGATATTCATGGCGTTCTAGTGCTCTGCTTGCCCATGGACTAAATGTTTATATTCATGGGTTAGGGACTCAGCCCTGCACAGTATTAGAGGTGCTTCACCAAAAGATTAACTTTGGGGCTTTCCTTTTTTTTTTAAATTGTTTTTTAAAGATTTTATGTATTTGTTTGACACAGACACAGCGAGAGAGGGCACACAAGCAGGGGGAGTGGGAGAGGGAGAAGCAGGCTTCCCGTGGAGCAGGGAGCCCAACGCGGGACTCGATCCCAGGACCCTGGGATCATGACCTGAGCCGAAGGCAGACTCTTAATGACTGAGCCACCCAGGCATCCCTGGGGCTTTCCTTTTATAGGGAAAACCTTTTATGACTATATAGATCTGTGCATTTCTCTTTTTAGTTTTTTTTAAAGACTATATCTCATATTTTTGGTTCTGCTTTGATCATCCTTGATTTCGTATAAAAGGCTTATTTCTTAAAGCTTTAGATGTGCTTTCTTGAGACCAAACCCTAATCACATTTGGGATTAGGTCTCAAATTTCTTCAAATATTTACAAATTGTGCTCAGTTTGTGTCATGTCTATAGGTGGCCTGACAGCCATTACAACATGATTTTTCCTAATCTCATTCTGAAAGCAATTCCAGGTTGGGGATGCCTTGCTTTTGTCCCTATGTATCACTTATGTGGTACAGATACTGAAGCCCAGTGAGGTGAACTAATTTTCTCAGGGTCATAGCTGGCCGGGGGTGGAGGTGATATTCAAACTCAGATCTGTCTGGCCCCCAGACTTATAGCTTTTCTACTCTACCCTTCTGGCTTTCTTTATTAAAGGTCTGTTATATTTTCTGTCCACAGAGTTACTGGGAAGAAAATGAGAACCGTTTATGTTAGAAATGTGTATGTGTATACGTTGGATCATCCAGCTAGAGGTCAGGATTACTTGATCCTACATCCTGCCGTTCACCCAAAGTACAGTTGGTAAAAACAGGCAATTTACTAGTCCAGTAAGTATAGTCCAGTCAGCCGTCTGATCTCTGGATGAAATGCAGAAGTGTAATCTGGGGGAAGGAATGAAATACACCCTAAAGAAATTAAAATAACCTTTCCCCAGTGATTGAGAATATTATTCAGAGTCTAAGCTGCTATCAGAAGTTGATCAAAGAATTGAAGCCCTTCTACATATTCATCTCTTATTCATCAGCTGTTAAAAATCTAAACGTGGCCAGTGGTGGAGGGGCTCCTGGCTGGCTCAGTTAGGTAGAGCAGGTGACTCTCAATCTCGGGGTTGTGAGTTCAAGCTCCACGTTGGGTGTGGAGCCTACTTCAAAATTTTTTTTAAAAAAATTAAATGTTGGAACTTTTATGTTTATAGTAAAAGCCAAGGGAGAACACCTCTAAATTGAAGTTCAGATTCATATCAGGAGTCTTAATTGGGGTTATGGCTCAACCCCTGTTTCTTAACAGGTCTCCATCCTGGAAACTCTTCAGGAGAGGGAATTATCTTCCTCTCCCGTTGAAGCTCATTTAGGGTGCTTAGAAGGCCCTTGGCTTCAAGAAGTGGCACAATGGAAAGAACCAGACGTGTCTGAGTTTGAATTCTGGCTCTGACATGTACTAACTGTGTGAACTTGTTAGATAGGGTACTCTGTGCCTATTTTTCCTAATCTGTAAAATGGGCATAAAATCATCACCTCTGGTGATTACTATTAGAGATACGTGAGCTAACATAAAACATTTAGCATGGGGCCTAGCCTGTAGTAGACACACAATGTTTCCTATTCCTTCTTGCGGATACAGGAGCATGTGATTCATAAGTGTCTCACACAATGGTAGCTCATGCATGCAGAGAGCACACCAAGCCACAGTATTCTTGATCTGAACACCAGAACGTTGCTGTTGTAGGTGGGGGCAGGTGTCAGGAGGAGTGGTGTTGTATAGCTCTGGTGCTGTTCATTTTATTGTCTTTAGTTGAAAAATGCCATTTTTTTTAACCCCGTGACAATGATGCACATCAACATTTCCCAAAGTGCATTCCCTAGAACACTAGTCAAACAAGTTTGGAAAATGCTACTCTCTACTACTTCCTTTTTTAGCTTCACAAAGCACATTAGTAAAATATTTAAAAGTCTCCTAGGGCGCCTGGGTGTCTTGGTCAGTTAAGCATCTGTGTTTGGCTCAGGTCATGATCCCAGGGTCCTGGGGTCGAGTCCCGCATCAGGCTCCCTGCCCCACGGGGAGCCTGCTTCTTCCTCTCCCTCTGCCGCTCCTGCCTGCTCATGCTTTCTCTCTTGCTCGCTCTTGCTCTCTCTCAAATAAATAAAATCCTTATAAAAAGAAGTCTCCTAATAAAGAAACATTTTGCCTGAGTCTAACCCAGCATTTTACAGCTACACTTGGCTCTGGAGTACTCCTTCTGGAGTATAATTTATGTTACATTGTGGATGTCACTTTGGGTATCCCAAGTGCACATGGTTGTTGCATCTTCGAGTAGCTCACAAAATCTTACTGAACCCATAACACATCTTGAACTTTCAGTGGACAAATAAGCAAAGCTTCATACATTGGTAGCTGTAATATAAAATAAACTGCATTATGGCTTATGAAGGATTTTGTCAACTCACTGGGTTGACATCATCATTTGTTGAAATGCTTCAGTGGTAATGACTGTTTGAAGTGGAAATTGAATTTGAATTTGAAAACCACTATTTTTCACCCTCCAGTTAAATAATCGATTCAGGTCAATGTTATCAGTGGATGTTAAAAT